TAATCATTGGGATTTCCATTACATGTTTTTGTTAATGGTGACCTTTATATATATATTCTATTATTTGGACATCTAACAAAATAGGGCGCTTCCACTTTTACTCCTCTTTTAATCTCTAACATTAGAAATGAATTTTGGTCATTACAGACGTTGTGCTAGTCTAATAATGACCCAGATAGTGTGTCCATTCATCTTATTTCTAATGAACTATTTCTGTCTTATTAATATCCTAGCTATTATATCCCCCCAAAAACATAGAATCGCTGCCATTATTTCGTCCTTTTCCTTATTTATTAACCCAATATCAAGTAGTTAATGCGGCGTAATTTATACGTTAAAAATCAATTCTTTTTAATTACATGTGAACATGTCAGTAAGGCAGGAAAGAAAGTCCTGCACAGCAGATAAATCAAATAACCCGTGTGAGTTAATTGGAACTTTCTAATCGTATTAACGGTTTTGTTGATATATTTAGGTAATCGTGTTGATTGCGAATTGGGTATGGTTTGGAGAAACCGTTCTGTTTTATTAGTTTTGGCTTTTCTTTACAATAATATCGAAAACTGGATCCGATTTTACTTTGTTTATTCTGTGTTATGCTATTGCTGAAACAAGAATTTAAATCCAGTTTGTGTTCAAGTTGTATATCTTAATATATGAAACCAATAAAGGTGGATCGTGGTAGCAAAATGTATCGCACGATAAATTCATAGTTCCGCGGTCATGTGATGTGTATCTTATTTGTTATCCAGAGTGTGCATATTTTCACAGATTGAGAAGTTAGATCGGACATAATTTAATGTGTTTCGTAAATTAACAATTTGCAATTTGTCATTTCAAGGTTACTGTTCATGGTCACGGTCAGCTGAAAGTTGCTGTTTTCCCCATGGATGAATACGTGTGATATTTGAACTATGTTACGTAATCGTTGCTGGCAGCACATCTGATCGGGTTTTAAAGAACTGTCATTGGTATTTTAAGGTCACATCTAATGAATTGAATCATCTGTAATAAGTTTTATCCATCTCTCATTTCGGGTTATTAAATTCAGCAACATCAATGTTTGGACCAAATATTATGATTGCTGTGATGTTAAGTCGCATAACAAAAACGTTTCTTCGCGATAACAATACCAATCCATAACATTGTCACGAGTGACTCTGTTGCCTTTCACGTGTAGTCTATGGCTGTGGGTTAAATACAATTTAATATCCTGGTCCAACAATCAAAATCGTTTCACGCATTATATAAATTCAATTAAAGCTTCCCAGTTCGATTCGTTACTAAGAAATTCGATTCATGTTTTAGGTCTTTACTCCAAAAGTAAAAAAAAACCCACTAAGATCCGATGGAGCCTAGTAAATATGAATGGGATGACTGTAAGTATACAGTTCTGGGTAATCCATTTGTAAAGGGGTAATTACTAAATACATGTGCAATATTAATCCATCAATAATAGGAGCTAATTCATATTCAACTTAGCTTTACTTACATAACAACGCTAGAACTGATGAGTACCGAAAGAAAATAATCTATACAAACGGGGTCTCGCCAATTACTATGGAGTCTTCCCATATCGCCGACTCACCAAGTTTTGGAAATTGGACCGCGGCACCCTTTGATTGGATTAAAGCGGATTAAAAGCGTTAATGAGGCAGGGACCAGTCATTATTAATATAGTTCACTGAAATTGATTTTTACCACAGACCTTTATTGACTTTTTTGCCGAAGCAATTAATAAAATTCGTGAAAAGTTTGTTGACACCCCCCCTTACACTGACATTAATGTCCCACCCCAGTGTAATTTCTCTGCTTTTGAGCCATTGAATGTTGATGATGTAATATCAGTGGTGTGTCGAATGAAGTGTAAGTCATGTGCTCTGGACCCAATTCCTACAAAACTACTAAAAGAGTGTCTGGATGAAATAGCACCAGCTTTGACGATTATTATAAATGATGTGCTCTCCTCTGGTATTTTTCCGGATGATTGTAAGGAGGCCATTGTAAGACCTCTGATTAAAAAAACAAGTGTTGACCGTAATGCACTCAAAAGTTATAGACCAGTGTCAAATATTTCATTTTTAGCAAAATTGCTTGAAAAGATCATTTTATCTCAAATAATAGATTATCTCACTCGAAACTCACTGCTCGGTAAATTCCAGTCTGCTTATCGAGAGGGGCATAGCACTGAAACCGCACTCCTTAGAGTGCATAACGATGTTACAGATATGAACAAGGAAGACTGAATTTATTAGAATTTTTGGACTATGTTGGAATGCGTGCAAAAATTTAAAATTGTGTTATGTTATGTATTATAAATTAAAAAAAAAAAAATGCTCCCAAAATTATCTGCTTAATGAGGTTTATCCTTCAGCTTGGGTCTATTGTTCTTGGCCACTCATTCCCATAACGTCGACCAAAATTTTCCCCCTAAAACTCGGTGAGTCGGCGATATGGGAATGAACCATTACTATAAGTCTAAAAGAAAAAGCTCGCGTGTATTTATCAACACTGTTTCGAAATTCTTAGCAAAGCTAGAGACTCATCAGCACCGAATGAAAGCTTACTATACCAACTAACGTTTCATCCATTACTAGAAATCTAGAAGAAAAAGCACAACATCTGGTTAATACTGAAAATGTAAAACCCCGAGGAAGAAATTTCATGTATTAGACCGGACATGTGATTTATCTCGCATACGAACGGGCATAATTTAAGTGAAATGAAATGAAATGGGGTTTAACGTCCTACTGTTCTGCTCCTAATTTGGGCCAATGCAGACGGGCAGCGGCGCTACGACCTACTCTTATTTCGAATTCCAACTGCCAAGGGATCTTTTACGTGCACGCCAAAATTGTACACGGGGCCTCGGTTTTTTGTCCCATCCGAACGACTAGACTTTCGTGGCGATAGAATTATACGTGTAACATAAAAATAAATTGGTAAAAAATGGTATAAATTACGCGTAACCTAAAAATGGTATAAATTACATGTTACTTAAAAAGGGCTAGGTATAATTACATGTTACTTAAAAAGGGCTAGGTATAAATTATTTGTAGCTTAAAAATATGGCATTATTTACATAAAAACATACATCTAGTAGAACCCACAGGTACGTGTACGATAAAATTCCTGGTAGAATCTACGTGTAATACGATATTCGTGGTAGAAACTACGTATAAGATCCATTCCGTGGTAATTCCTGAAGCGATGGCCCGAGAAATACCTCTCTGGACATTGCTTGATTGACTTCTGATAAATGAAATGAAATGACATGGGGTTTAACGCCCTACTGTTCTGCTCCGAACTGGGCTGATGAAGACGGGCATACGCCATACAATGTGCTATGAGGGAATTTTTTCCCGGCCAGCGGCACTACAGCCTACTGGCAAGGGATCTTTTACGTACACACCAATGTGTTCACGGGACCTCGGTTTTTCGTCCCATCCGAACGACTAGACAGCTGCCCTTGTTAGGCCCTCCGTCCTGCATCACTGACAAGGGGAGACCACGCCGGAAAATCTGGATGAACTTTCTCGGCCAATGAAGGGATCGAACACCCGACCTCCAGGCTAGCGAGTCAGCGTCTTACCCACTTAGCCACGTGATCCCCCATAATCTAAGTGCATTATTGGCTGTAAATTACTTCTTAAACAAGTAAGGAACATGTTTATGCGTGTTATTTTTTTATGTAGAATAATAATCTCACGCTGTGTTAATTTATAGAATACTAACCCCAGACGGGATAATTTAACCAAGAGAATAACATTTAAAGATCAATAAAAATTATCGACACAGGTTTAACCAAAGATCAAAGAAAATTATCGACATAGGTTTATATTTTAAGAAAAACAAGACACTGTCAGGGATGCTTACTATTAGCTGGGTATCGTGTCATATCGCGTCGAAGATCGAATTACTGGGGAAATGTTTTATTCAAAAAAATCTTACTGTGTATTACGAAGAAAATTCATGTGCTTCCGAACAATACGTATTATCCTTCTCATCTTGGAGTTGAAACTCAAAAGGCTTGTTCGTTTTACTAATTCAAACGATACACATCAATTTGATACAGATCGGATAATAACTTTTGTCGTTAGAGCATTCACAAGGTACAACAAAGTGAAACAAGGGCCATACCTCACGGCGTAATTAAGGGAAATTGCTGAAATTCAATAGGCTTCTTCGTTTCACTAATTTAAATGATGCCTATCAATTTCAAACAGATCGATGATAACTGTTGTCATTAGAGCGTTCACAAGATTCAACAAAGTAAAACATGGGCCAAAACTCTAGATGTAATTAACGGTTATTGCTGAAATTCAATAGGATTCTTTGTATTACTCATTTAATTGATGCATATAAATTTCATACAGATCGGTTGATAACTTAAATAGGCTTCTTCAACCTATTAATGCAAACAACACATATCAATTTCAAAACAATCAGATGATAAATGTAGTCTGTAGAGTGTTCACAAGAAATTGTGGACGACGGACGGACGGACGGACGGACGGGGGCGACGGCAATATACGACCACATTGGGATGTCCGTTACATGATTTTTGTTAATATGGTGACCTTTATATATATATATATTCTATTATTTGGACATCTAACAAAATAGGGCGGTTCCACTTTTACTCCTCTTTTAATCTCTAACATTAGAAATGAATTTTGGTCATTACAGACGTTGTGCTAGTCTAATAATGACCCAGATAGTGTGTCCATTCATCTTATTTCTAATGAACTATTTCTGTCTTATTAATATCCTAGCTATTATATCCCCCCAAAAACATAGAATCGCTGCCATTATTTCGTCCTTTTCCTTATTTATTAACCCAATATCAAGTAGTTAATGCGGCGTAATTTATACGTTAAAAATCAATTCTTTTTAATTACATGTGAACATGTCAGTAAGGCAGGAAAGAAAGACCTGTACAGCAGATAAATCAAATAACCCGTGTGAGTTAATTGGAACTTTCTAATCGTATTAACGGTTTTGTTGATATATTCAGGTAATCGTGTTGATTGCGAATTGGGTATGGTTTGGAGAAACCGTTCTGTTTTATTAGTTTTGGCTTTTCTGTACAATAATATCGAAAACTGGATCCGATTTTACTTTGTTTATTCTGTGTAATGCTATTGCTGAAACAAGAATGTAAATCCAGTTTGTGTTCAAGTTGTATATCTTAATATATGAAACCAATAAAGGTGGATCGTGGGAACAAAATGTATTACACTATAAATTCATAGTTCCTCGGTCATGTGATGTGTATCTTATTTTTTATCCAGAGTGTTATCTTTTCACAGATTGAGAAGTTAGATGGGGCATAATTTAATGTGTTTCGTAAATTAACAATTTGCTATATATTAAGGACCTCGACTTCGTAAGTATTAAGTGTTTTATATCGCCAAATGGCCAATGCTCCAAATGCTGACCGAAAAAGTTCACGGGAATTTTCAGCTTAGTTTCCCATTGCCATTGCTGCAGGACTGAGGGACTGGCGGGGAACAGTTGGAATTGATGACCAGCAAAAGTATTCTCATAGCACACTATATGACGCATGTCCATTTTCTTTAGCCGCCAAGTTGGTAAAGAAAGGTAGGATGTTAAACCCCATTGAACTCATTCGGCCCAAAACTAATTTTCTTTGATTTAATTTTACTTTAAATACTCATACCTGACATTCTAATTAATCAGTTTGAAGTTTTATGAACAAGTATGCTTTCTTATAAGACTAATTATTATTGCATATCGTCAAAAAGTGTATAGTTCTTGGTTAGTCGGACATATTGTGCTTTTAAGTTCATGTCCTATACATGCTACAGCTCCGCATATCACTGCATCCATTCATAATACATTTCTATGAACCGAGTTCTATTGTATTTCAATAATGAGCCTCTGTAAGACAACAGATTTTCCGATTATCTTGTGGGTAATAAAAATATTGTTGCAACTTTGTTTATGATAAACACTATAAGACATTTTGTTGGTATAGAAACGACCATATACTTACAAAGGTAGGATATGCATGGACGTTTTCCATATGTCTGTTTTGTAAGGCCATTATTTGTTGATTATTGTAACAGAACAATTTTGCAAAGCTGTTTTGGTATTTAAAACCATTAAATGGCTTAATATATTGTTGTAGCATATCAATAATGCCGAAGTGTTTTGGAAATACGGGATTTGCGGTAATCTGCGCGGCTATTTAAAAACCATCGAAGTAACTCATTGCAGGTAATTTTCTTTAGAATCATCTTTTTATATTTTATTCATTGACGATCGAATATTATATCAAACTACAAAATTAAATATCGAGTGTAAGATCACGCACAATAAAAAAAAGTCTGGCTTCTGTTCTTGTCTCACCGCCATATCTCCACACTCCATCACAAAATATATGTTCTTATTGAAGTCTAATTTGGCTAACTGAATTATCAGGTTAAGTTAGATGAAAACAGATTTTCTATTGATACTGTGAGACGTTACCGTAGGGTAAATTTAAACCACATAAAAACGTAAACATTATCGTGCAATTTTTATTAGACTGATTTGACATTACACTTTCTAAATGTATTTTTTAAATATCAAGTTGGATTCTTTGGAGGTTGTTTTGGTTAAATTTATCAAGGACCTTTAAGTTACCTAATACAAAAAACATATAAAACAATATGGTTTTTAAAACAATCAATGATATCTATATATGTCAATCGATTTTCTTAATCATTTTATCCCTGCAAGAAAAAACTCTACTTTCGGACTTTCTTTTATTACCAATTATAATGAAACTTACTGAGTTTTTAAATTAAGAATTTTAGATTTTTTTTATTTACCTCAAGAATTATTGATGTGAAATAAATAGGGTGTTTACCTTACCTAAGGGATAACAATGAAGCCTGCTGTTGATTATATACTAAAGAAATATATTTTTCGACGTCGGTGTAAGCCCATACAATCTCTTGATCGTCATATTAGGCGCGGAAGACAAAAATTATTAGTCTAGACCAATTTGGTGCTAACAACATCAAACAAAATTTCAATGACCAAAATTGTTACCAAATGTTAGTTTTATATATTTTCCATCGAAAATAACCAACAGGGAATATTTTTAAAAATAGGGTATCAATGCAACTGGACATAATATAATTGATCTCTGAATTTTCGATTCCAGCCCACCGCCGTTCTTTAGTATATAATTCGAACATTTGACCCAGCGATAAATCGATATTGTGTGCAGCGACAGCTATAAAATAGCTGTATACGATTATTGGAAGATTTGCTAATGCGCACAACAAAAACTAAAATTGGTATATTCTTCAGTAAATAATTCAAAATCATGTTCACCATAAGTGGTGTTCAGTGTTTAACTGTTCTGCACCAAACTTGATACAGAAGACGAATTCCAACGGCCATTGTTTCTTTTACGAGTACGCCAGTGATTTTTCTTACAATTCGAAGGAGTTGGAGCTGTTTCTAGCCAGATCCCACTTCTTTAACACTAAAAGGGGAAACAAACTGGAAAATGGTGAGGAGCTTTTCCTGCCTACACCCGGGTTGAACCCCGGATCCGCTGCTTGGGGTTTCAGCCTTGTCACTCAACGAGACGCCATGACTCCCCATACCACTTTAGATGATTATTTTGTAAACTTTTTATTGAATTTTTTCTTCCATTTTGATTTGGATTTGAACAAATTCTCAATCTTTCTCGGCCTAAGAAATGTTTTGTGTGGGTTAATTAGATCATCTATAGCAATCTGAAAACTTATTTTTACGTAAAAGTATATTTCGTATGACCTATAAAGATATAATTATACACTGAAAGTGATCAGTAATCTCAACATAATAAAACAAAGAATGTCAACCCCAAGTTTGACACATGACCCCGTCTTCATTAGCCCGGTAGATGTAGAAAAGTAGGACGTTAAAAACCATTTCTGTTCGTAGTATCCCCTGGACTGTGTTTGGTGTAACGTATAACACCCACTTAGCATATCGCATAGTTACCAATATATCAGTAATTATGGTATTTGAGCCAGATACGACGAAAAGATGGGATGCGCACATTGCGCAGTGATCAGATCTTCTAAATTTGTCAATCTAGTCAATGTTACGCATTGTGTCTTTAATTTCACGACTGTCAAATATATAAAAGGAAGTAAATCTCTATTAATGTAATATGAATGGAAACTGATTTACATTCAATTTTCAAAATGTTATTATTGTTTCTAAGCAGTTTGGCGAAATACGTGAACTGTCAGATGTCGACAACGGTTTTGCGGTTTGTATGGAAGCGTATAGGGGTCAATAGCGCGATAGATACCGCAAAATTAATTTGGTAATATGTCAACATATTGTGATTGTTCTGATGATTTTACCTCTGAAAAAACAATTTTTCCCGAGTTAATTGAAAAACTCTTTATGTTGTATGTCGTTATTTCGTTTTAAATGCACACGTCGACATAGCGAATGGCGATATTTCGCGAAAATACCGACATATGCTACGGCGATATGGAATATGTCGACAAAGCTTCAGAATAGCAATATCTTAACGCAAACGTGCACATTTAAAACGAAATGAGGACATCTAACATAGCGCGTTGACTCAATCACTCGGCAAAAATTGTCTTTTCAGAGATAAAATCATCAGAACAATCACAATATGTTGACATATTACCAACTTATTATTGCGGTATCTGTCGCGCTATTGACCCCTATACGCTTCCATAGGTTTGGCCTTTCACTTACGCAGAAGGCGCCTGCCTCGAGAGCATATATAGACCTGTCTTACATATTGAATATCAGGGGTCCATAATTTACCAGTAAGATAACAATATTGATAGAAATGGAAATACGTGTTTATAATGTCGAATATTATGGATAATATTTGTGGAGTTAGAGATTTAGTTAACTATTTCGATTATTGGAATGTTCATCTTCTTCCTGAACATTTTCTTGTGTTGTTAATTTCAGGTAACACATGTATTAAGAAAGTGAACATTGAATAAACCTATGCAGATAACGTTTATGATGCTAGGATCATACTTTTTATTCTTACTCATCTTCGTTATAAACATAATTCACAGCAGTATCAATGTATGTGTCGATCATACGAAATTAAAGACGATAACCGCTGCAGCATTGGGACAGGCCAGATTCAAAGTGTTAAATAACACATCACTTATGAAATGTATGAGTGACTGCCTAAGACGTACACGGTGCAAATCATTTAATTATTACCTACTTACATCTACGTGTGAATTAAACGATAGACAAGCGGTGACTTTATCTGAACTGAGAACAGAAAGCAGCGTTTTGTATGGATCTGCTGTAGATATACCACAGGTATGTTACAAGTTAATCAGTAAACTACTTGAAGCATGACAGGGAACATCGACTAGTCGTTCGGATAGGACGGAAATCCGAGGTCCTATGTACACATTGGTGTGCACGTAAATGAACCCTTGACATTTAGAATTTGAAATAAGGGTGGGCCGTAGTGCCGTTGTCGGGCAAGATTTCTCAAATAGCGCACTGCGTGGCTTATGCCAGTCTTTATTATCCCCTTCAGTGGGACGTTAACCCCCATTTTATTTCATTTCTAAACTATTTGAAACAAATCACGAATTAAATATGAGTAGAACTGTACTTCTGTGACTTTTATCCTTTGGTGGTTCGGTTTAATAATGCATCAGAAGGTCGGTTTTTAATACTATACATTCTAGAGCATGTTCATTTTTATACGATCTATTGCCAATACTGTGCACACTGGAGCATCCCCATTTTATTCATATACCTAAATTATATCTGTTATTTTGAAATTATTGCAGATTATAGCCGGTGTATGTGCCAATCATCAATGTACATTTCCTAGCGAGTGTACTGAACAACGGAATGGTACTACCTCATGTGATATTGTTGGTAAATAAAATTTCTGTAAAGGAGGGGAAAAAATAAGATCTTGACATTTCACATTTTCCAGTCAGGAAGTGGTGGTGCGGAGTGGTGTCGAGGACTGTGTCTGACCCTCATGTTTCCTCCCGATGCAGTAATTAAACTCTAGTCTTTAAGTGTTGTTAAGTTAAACCCAGTATTCTCTAATCCTACTTACCGCTACGCCTTTCGACCGCGCCACCTCATTTACCACTTTTTTGCTCTAATTTGTTCAGTGAGGACAAACATGTTTTAATCAGTTTTACGTCTATTTTCAGATTGTGGAAGCCCGCCTGTTATTTCCAATTCAACCGCAATGTTTGATACCAACAATATACCGATTGATATAGACACTATTTTATCATATACATGCCACAGTGATTATTATCCTGCTGGAGAACAAAAATGTCTACCTAATGGTACTTGGGAAGACTTTAAATGTAATTTAAAAGGTAAACCTGTTTTTGTTCTTTGATTATGATTATATTTAATGATTAAAAATTTATTTTAGCATTCTATACACTCGGGAAAATTATACCTCCGGGCCCAACGACCCAGCTTAGCTACACACAACAGAGATTTGTATTCGGGTGAATTTTCCTCTTTTCGTCAATGTGACTCGATAATATGTTTCCTCGCCAGTCATGCTTTTGATCCGGATAAATCGAATGGTTGACAAAAGGAAGGACATTCTTTCAAACAGAATTCAGAAGCCAGTTTTTTTTAAATCTAGTAAATCGTTATTTAATTTAGATTAAAGTTAATCAAACTTGGAAATGGGTAAGCACACCTTGCCTCAAGCGATAGGCACCACTACTATGTAAAATGAAAAGCCCAGAACGAAACATCTAATACCGATAAAGAAAATGTCGTGCTAATGGAGCTGATTGGAGTATGGTTGGTAAATCGATATTTTAATAAAATAGACAACAATATCGGTTATAATCCTCAACATATTATGTCAAAACACATTCACGTTATTAAACAATTTTCAAATACGGGCGACATGATCTGTTCTGGCCCCGAGGGAATCAAATACATTTGATTCAATCCAAACAGCATTCATCTGGCTATTTGGTTGTGCGATTACCCTTTAGGATCGATTGTGCCATATTATATATACTAACTATTAGTGTTAATTGGTTCAGGGTGGCACGTTTCGATTTTTGTGTTTTCATGGCAGTTCAGTAGTCTGGCTATATTATTGTTTGTTTGTTGTGCCCCTCAAATTAAAGCTTACAATTATTTTGACGTATTGCCACTGGCTTGTCTATTATATGAGTAAACGGTTCTGGGTCGTCATAGCGTTGTATGATAAACGTATCACATAAAAATCGTGATTGAACTTGCATATTATGTAGGTGTAATCTCCCCAAAATAGCATAAGTTACTTGCAACAATAAAATCGCCGAAAACGTGTAACATAAAAAGTAGCGTATGATTTACGTGTAACATAAAACACGTTGTTTAACTTGCGTCAAACTTAAAGCGATAATTTCATATTTTCTAAGAAAGTCAAAACATAATTATTTCTAGGTCTTTTGCTCAATAGGTTATCAACTCACTATTATACGACCATGGGCATTATTTCCCACCCTCAAAAATCATTGACACAGGAAATAATAACACAATTACCTCCCTTGTTTTCATATTGCCTCCATGCATTAGCTACCTTCAAACGTTGGAATTTGAAGTTGAAAATGATATTTTTGCCAATTTCTCAGCTGGCAATAGTGACTTATAGGATTAATAGGATTATTCTTTAACACGGTAGGACGGTTTATGGATATCATCTATTTTAAGGCTTTATTTTAATAAATTTTAAAAATTTAACTTAAAAATATGAAATTGCAGCTTTAAAAACATAATAAAAATTGGGTGTAACGTAAAACATAGTATATGTTACGTGTAACATTAAAAAGATATAGCAAAAGTTACGTGTAACATAAAAAAGGCCCAACAGGAATTACGCGGGACATGGCAAGCCTTAGTTGTAATCAATAAACATGGTATCACTTTCGTGGCGATAGAATTTTACGTGTAACATAAAAATAAATTGGTAAAACATGGTATAAATTACGCGTAACCTAAAAATGGTATAAATTACGCGTAACCTAAAAATGGTATAAATTACATGTTACTTAAAAACGGGCTAGGTATAAATTATCTGTAGCTTAAAAATATGGCATTATTTACATAAAAAAAATACATCTAGTAGAACCCACAGGTATGTGTACGATAAAATGCATGGTAGAATCTACGTGTAATACGACATTCGTGGTAAAACCTACGTATAAGATCCATTCCGTGGTGGAACCTACGTATAAGATCCATTCCGTGGTAGAAACTATACGTATAAGATCCATTCCGTGGATGAAACTATAAGATCCATTCATTCCGTGGTAGAAACTATAAGATCCATTCCGTGGTAGAACCTCATATTCCTGAAGCGATGGCCCGAGTAATACCTCTCTGGCCATTGCTGGGATTGACTTCTGATAAATGCAATGAAATGACATGGGGTTTAACTGGGCTGATGAAGACGGGCATACGCCATACAATGTGCTATGAGGGATTTTTTCCCGGACAGCGGCACTACGGCCTACAGTCAAGGGATCTTTTACGTGCACGCCAATGTGTACACGGGACCTCGGTTTTTCGTCCCATCCGAACGACTAGACAGCTGTCCTTTCCAAGCCCTCCGCCCTGCATCACTGATAAGTGACAACCACGCCGGAAAATCTGGATGAACTTTCTCGGCCTATGCAGGGATCGAACACCTGACCTCCAGGCTAGCGAGCCAGCATCTTACCCACTTAGCCGCCGTGACCTCCTGACTTCTGATACTTGAGATCTTGAGGGAGTGTGTCTATTTCACGTTCAATCAAATATCTCCTAAGTACAGCAACATGACAACCCTAATTCGTTTAATCTGGGGTCTTCCCTAAAAGTTTGGACAGTGATTTAATGTATTAAAAACAGTGAAAGTATTGTTCGTCTCCAAACACTATTGTTTGCATTGTAGCAATTGTTGATAGCTTCATTTGTCACGCAGTTAATTTTTCTGCAATATTCTGCAATGCACTGGTTAATTGGGTATACTACATTTCGTGAGTCATGACGTAACGTTGTGTAAGCATATTTGGAGCTCTGTTTAAACCCAACTGATATTGTTACGCAGTTAGGTATTGGTTGTTATTCGGACTATTGACCAGTCATAATTTGGAACATAAATTTGATTTCATTACGGTAGTGTTGAGTGGGATTAAACGAAACACTGCTATGAGTATGGTAGAACCTATGTGTAAGATAAAATTCGCGGTAGAACCTACATGTTGGTCCTGAACATACAAAATCTTCACCTGGTTTCTTGCGGCCGGTCTGCGAACTACCAAACCCTATGACCGGTGCGTGTCAAAAACACGTACGGCGGGTTGTGAGCTAGGCATAAGTCAGAATATAACTGCTAAATGTATTATTTTATACTTTTAGTGAAAACATGCACGACCATACAACGATGTAACCCGAACTATATTGACGGTGAATATTGGTTTTATCATGAACCGACTGGTGGGCGAATTAAAATCTTCTGTCATGGGCTGAATACGACTAACCCCAAAGAATATGTCACCTTACATGGGAATGTCAAATATTTTACTCAGCATTATACTGATGGTGATACTGATGATTGTAAATATGGACGATCTCTCCCTAACCATACCTTTGAATATTGTGGAAAAACAGCCTTTCAAAAAATTGGTATTAAAAATTATCAGGTAGGTTTCAGTCACGGAGGCAATTCTGTAGATAATTTATGACATCTGTCATTTGAACTACAGATTAAGAAAACGACGCTCGTTCTAATTGTATCCTCATTATATCACAAAACAATATTGATGTAAAATGTCATTATAGCCATTTTTGTGATTGTATCTTTTTTTTACATATTATACAGGAATTAGAAGTTGATTTGGAAGATTTTACATTTGCAACTCCTGGCTGTACAGAATTTAGCCCACTAATGGTGATTGGTGATTGCTCTAAAAAGACTGGATGTACAGATAGTCCTAGTTCAGATTTTTTTCATTTTGATTTAAGAGACACAGGGTTATTAATACCAGCAACGGTAACAATTTTCATACCCCCACATTTTCATGTGGACATGTATTGTCGTCGCCCCTGTCCGTCCGTCCACAATTTGTTTTTGGACCCTCTACAGGTCACAATTTTTATCAAATTTTGACGAAACTTGAAATATAGGTTTGTCTTGGTTCCATTCGATATTGGCATGTATCGGACCGTAACATCATGGACTAAATCACTTGTTTAGTTTATGGACGCTCTAGAGGTCACAATTTCTATCCGATTTTGATGAAACTTGACGGGTATGTTTATAACCCAACGATCTCGGTTCCTGTCACAATTTTGTATCTGATTTCAAAAACCGTTCGCATATATCACCGTTACACCTTAATAATGGTTGAGTTTGAATATCGTGAAAATCGGACCGAAACTACCAGACAGAATGGCCCTTCCCTGTAAGCAAATTAATATCATTATACGAAAAATCACATTTTTAACTTGTGGCCCCTCTAGGCCTCACATTTTTTATCCGATTTTTAAAAAAACGTTTAAATATATCACCGTTACACTATAATGAAGATTGAATTCAAATTTCCTGAAAATAGAAACGAAACAGCCGATAAAATGGCAGGTCCATCTACGCAATTAGTTTAAAAATATGTACATGTAATACGAAAGTTGTGGATCCTGTAGAGGTCACAACTTTTGTCCGATTATGTTGAAACTTAAAATGTAGTGATTATATCCCAAATCCTTTAGATATTCGGTCATTTCAGACAACCATAACTTACTGGATTATGCCCCCTGATTGTACAAAAATCACCTTTCTGTTAGCTTGTTCTCTGTCTATCCCTTGCAAAATGTGGGCTTATCTTGCATGGCAACGGCTGGTTTATACGTTTATAGTTTTATCCACCAGTGTTTGCCAAAATCTACATGTGTATTTGAAAGATGCCTTATGTAAGAACCATATCTGCCTATGGCAGGTCTTTTTTTTAAAACTTTTATATAAATTATTATTTAGACATTTTGGATATTCATAATTTAAATCGATTTGAACACCAACAAGATTTGAAAATTCAACGATAAAATTTTAATGGATAATTGAGATTTTTGCCTCGGTCTTCAAGGAACGTTGCTTCGAAAATAAACAATATACCCTACATGATATTCAAACATTCTTAACGCCGCCAAGCTTATAGCACTTTGAGTTAAATATTCAATATATATAGTATATATTATTATATTATATTAATTTTTCAGTATCTATTTTCGAACTATTACAACGAAACCGGTCAGCTTTACATAATGTATTTTTAAGACAGATTTCCATAAATCATTACGATTAGACAATACAGGAAACTATATAAAAGGGGTATACCTGTTTATAATGTTCAAAATCATAAATCCCCTTGTTCCAGTCTGTTTATCTCAAACGTGTCTATCGGAAGTCTATGTTAGTTTTATAGAGTAGGAGGGACATGTTGAAAATTAGAAATCATGTACTAAATATGTTCCCTCAGAAAATAAAGTCACAAACTGAACAAACGGTTTGGGTTGAAAAAATAACACTGTCCAACTTGTTAACTATATACGTGATGCAAACCTAAGCACTAGTGTTTCATGTTACTTTAATTAATTGGATAGCTTTTCGGTTGAATCCGACTTTTGATCTTAAAATGTTAGCGGGGTAGGTGACCGAATGGTCTAAATCATGTGCTTTGGACAATAAGGTCTTTCCTTGGGTGAAGAGGTGTGGTTTCGATCCAACACTTCTCCGTGACAAGGAATATGGCTTGCTGTCTAACCTCGTCGAGTTTACTGAGTCCCCCGGCTTCCGGTTTCACCCCTACACACAAGCGAATTATTGAAAAGAAACGTTAGTCCTGAAATGAAAATGACCTGATTTGTGGTCGATTAGACATTATCCCCCTCCCCACCCATGTCACAAATCTGAAGTAGCACTGCATTTCAGGTTAAATGGGTAGATACAGGAATAGTCGAAGTAAACCTTGTGCAACGGTATTATGAAGATCAATTTGTTAAAGTTTCGTGTAGAGGCGGTTGTGGAAGTTGTGCCCCTTTGAATTATTCCGTGAAATTAGAAAAATATAGCGAAGGTAAGAAAAACGAGTACCGCAGTAATTGTTAAATAACATAATGTGAATGGGTATTGTGACACGGCGTTGTTTTTAAATACATTTGTAGATCAATTAATATGGGCTTCCAGGTTGTGTATAAAACTTCAAGGATCAGTTAACTCTTGAACACTGTGTTGTTCAAACAAACAATGTTTAAATAAAATAAAACCAAGTACGAACAATCCAAACCATTAGACAAAATTCGAAGTCCTCCCTAACACAAAGGTTATATACAAGGGTCTACACACGCAGCTTCTTTTTAAGTTTACATGATTATCTTCACGGTCTGTAAGCCGAAGCTACTTCAATACATTAATTAAACAAAGCATCATTTAGAGAACTTAAATAACCTCTACCGTATGTATAGTATTAGATTAATGCAAACACGTTTATTTAATTTCAGGCCCAAGCCTTGACCAAGCTACCTTGCCTATATGTTAACTTTCTGATATGTTTGTGATTTCAAAGCGGATAACGAAGACCAATCCAGAGTTTCAAGCATAGCAAATGGTAAAATACTATCAAGTTAAAATGAAATGAGGTTTAACTTTCTAATTTTCTGCACCAACTGAGTTGACGAAGGCGATGTACATGGTTGAACCAAATGATGACAAATTTATGGTACCACTAGTGTGTCCAGTATTCATAAATGACATGTCTGTGAAATGGAAAACTGATGGAAAGCAGACATTACTTTAGTGCTACGTATCACAATGAACACAAGTCTACACTGTTAGAAATAAATGTTAATTTACCATAAGAATGTGGTAAAATATTTACGTAGCTGTATGTTATTTTACACATGTATGTTTTATTGCACCAAAATAGGAGTGATAGTACAAATAGTCGTAAAAAAAACCATATTATACAGGTGATTTTACCGTGAAATAATTCATTTTACATACGTAACGTCAAAATACAGTAATGTTCAGTGTATTCCAACTATAGTAAGATGTACCGTAGCCCAAATTGGTTGTCGTAAAAAGTTGAAATCACAGAAATGTTTTATTCAATAGTAATGAAAGCTAAACTTGAAATATTTTTGTTAACATTTCTCAACACACAACCAATTAACAGTGATCGTTGAAGTCCACAACCAAATAGCAAATGATGTTACGACACCCATCAGGTACACTGTCAGAAATGTATGTAAAATTACAGTACTACAAGGGGTTTTTGTACCTCAATTATCGGTATATTTTACAACATATACTACTTTTACCAAGTCTAATGTATTTTTACCGAGTTTCGAGTATGTTTATCGAGTTTCATGTCTCTTTGACATTAAGTGGCGATGAAATCAGACATATTCAAAATCCGGTAAAAATACATATTATGTAATAAAATTGAACTGAAAGTAACGTAGCAAGCTTGTAACTTTACAGATTTTACGTTTATTCACATTATTATGTAATTTACTTTAAGGTAAAAAATATAAGTAAAATGACAGCAGTTAAAGAATTTGTTTTTACCTTAACATATTGAACGGAAAATAACATAGCCAGCATGCCATTTTACAGACTTATGTTTATTCACGTTATTTTGTAAATTTACTTATTCGGTAAATTTACTTATTCGGTAAATTTCTATCTCTTATTGTATTTTAGTATTCCATAGAAACGAAACATTCCTAATAATTATCTTCTTATGGTATTCATTTCAATTTATTAACCATAATATGAACAATTACATTTTGTAATTTTGGTATATTGCATGTCATGTATATCTAGTTTCCATTATTTATAAGATCTATAAAGTGTATTGATATTTATCGTACGTTAATCAGTTTGTAAGTATTTTCTTAAATGTTCAAAAAAAATGTTTTGCCTTTCTAGTCTTAGGTTGTATTATCTCGTTTTCAAGTTCGCTTGAAGACGGTTAATAAAACCGATTGGCCAGTGTTAGTTGGGCCGGACTGTCTGTAAAGCATGGTTATAATGCCTGCAAATAGACAGTACCGCGAGCTTACATCTGAAAGTCTGGAACCATGCTCTTGTCTACCAAACAGGATTATTGATATTTAATATATATCGAAGTGATATTAATACGAAATATTTTACACCGGGGCTATTGGTTGCTAACTCTCAGCAAAAATTGCTCGAATTCTGCATGTAAAATTACCAATATTTAGTATTTTTAACAAAAGGGTAAATTAACAGTGTGATGTATTTTTGCAAGAAATGTAAATTAACATTGTGATGTATTTTTACAAAAAAAAAAAAGTAAATTAACATTGTGATGTATTTTTACAAGAAATGTAAATTAACATTATATGTCCTTCTACAGTAAAATGTTAAATAACTAATGGTGTAATTTTACCTATGATTTAGGGGCAACTTTTGCTGCCCGTAATTTTAGGGTAAAATAACCATAATATTTTTAACAGTGTATATAAGATAGAACATACTCATATTTCATTATAATAATGTTAGGATTAATGAAGCAATCAAGAATCATTTGATCATCTTATACTGTTTGGAGGGTATTCAAAAAAGAAAAAAAAAGGTTAAAATTTGATTACTATTTTACATGTACTTGAATCGGGTTGTGCTACACCGATTAAGTAAAATCCCTATCCCCTCCCCACCCGCACACACATACCTCACAAACACAAGTACACTATGTGCTATCATTCACATCACAGCGATAGTTATTAAAGGGGGCATTCCAAAATTGAGTGATGTGTTTTACCGATATCAGGGAAAAGAACATGTTCGCCGGTTTTAAAATAAATATCGTCTGAATAATAGTTAGTAAACATGTTTGGCCAGGCCCTAGGCCTTGGGCACAATGGCACACAAGCTGAGATCGGAATGTAAACCGAACAGATATCATGTTTTGAAGTAATATATTTCAGATAAACATCACTATTGGTGGTGGTTTGGGGGCGATTGCTGGCGGGCGAATGGGGGCATATGTACTCCCCCTAAAGCCAATATTCACCACACCAAGTCACATGACCTATTACCCACTGGTTCCTGCGCTAGTGAAATCAGCTATCTTCCGTGGAAAATACCGTTAATTTTGATGAAAAAAATATAAAGGTATTTAACGATTTCTGAGGCCGCTGTTAGTCTTAATAAATCTATGAAAGTTCTTGATCTACAAGATAATGGTCTGCCCTTCAACTTCTGAGAGTTTGGTAAAAATACAAAAAAAAACCTTGATTGTCAGCCAATTATCAAACAGCCACCTTTCGTAGATATCAGAAAATAAACCTACCTTGCAGCTAGCTATGTTGTAATTTCTTAGCGGATTTATGGAAAAATCTGATTACGTGGTAAGAAAGAGAATGACTTATACTATCAAAATCTGCACGTGGGCTTTACAGGAGAGTGACTTAAAATAGCATGTTTTTCGTTTTTTACCCGTAAGCCTAGGGAAGCATGCTTGATCAATCAAGATCAATATTGTTTCAGTATTAAATAATCAAAGACACTTCATCAGGAAAGTGATAAATTTGAATTTGCAACGAGTGATCAATCAGCTATATAAGATTAGTATTCAGTCGGAGTATATAACGAGCACCTCCCCCTTACGTCCATTCTTCATTAGCCCAGTCTGAACAAAACAGTAAGACTTTAAACCCCATTTCATTTTTCCCTTACGAAAAGGTGAAATGGCCGATTTTCTGAGACGAGTTCGACAATCAAATGTGGTAAGCACCCAAAGTATCTAAACATTCAAAAAGTATTAAGCCTGTGCGCATGTACTAAGAGTATTAAAAAGCATCTGCGTAGTATTCATCTCGAGAGAACGGATGAGTGGCAGCTCATTTTATTACTCTTCAATTTCAATGAACATGACCTTCTATCGAAGACAGTATGTCCATCCTATCGCTATGGACTGGTTGGAATTGTGTTGGCGTGCCTAAGAACGTGCACCCATCCACTGCACGCAGGCAAAAGAAATGAAATGAAATGAAATGGGGTTTAACGTCCTACTGTTCAGCTCCTAACCTGGTTTAATGAAGACGGGCATACGCCATACAGTGTGCTATGAGGGAAATTTTGCCTACTCTTATATCGAATTCCAACTGCCAAGGGATCTTTTACGTGCATTCCAATGTATACACGGGACCTCGGTTTTTCGTCTCATCCGAATGACTGAGACAGCTGTCCTTGTCAGGCCCTCCGTCCTGCATCACTGACAAGGGGAAACCACGCCGGAAAATCTGGATGAACTTTCTCGGCCAATGCAGGGATCGAACACCCGACCTCCAGGCTAGCGAGCCAGCGTCTTACCCACTTAGCCACGTGATCCCCCCACAGGCAAAAGGAAACCTAGAAGTATATATGTAAAGAAGAGTATGTGGTAACAAGTTCATCGAAAATGGAAAGTGCTACTGCCTGTTGGATCAGGTAATTACATCATTATTTGCTCGTAGTCATCTAATACGGGTGTCTGGGGTACAAGAGAGAGAGAAATGGGTTTTAACGTCCACTCGACACAAACTAGGTCATTCCGGGACTAACATGTAGTTTACTTTTATTTCAATAATTTGCTTGCGCGTTGAGATTCATAGGAAACAACATGACAGATTTGATGAAAAACACCCCAACAAATCATTTACATGGCAACCGATCAAAATAATTTTCTGAATGAGTCAATATAGTCCAGTGATATATTTTCTATGTAAACAATTTGCATTAGTGAAACCTGCGTTATTTCTTTCAAAAAATCCTTCAAAATGAAAACACAGCCAAAATTTGATCATCACTTTTATATTTTTATATTCTAGGTATTGGCCGTACTTGTGCAGATGGCCATAAAGCAACATTTAATTAAGAGCCAGAAGCAAAGGTTTCATCACCAGACACTGACTCCTACACTCCTCTCCATTTCAAACTGCAGTAGCTGCAACATCAAGTTATACTTGTGGGGAATACTCTCCGATACCAACATTTACTATATCTCAACTTTCTAGTGATTTATCATCACATACATCATCTTTGGATAGTATTTCAAAATCAAGAACTGTGACGGATGCATCATGGGCACCTACTCCTGGTCGTACGAATAAAGGTCTTTCTATTCTAAATGACTTTCTATGAAATTCGGGATATGATCCAGTCAGGGGACAATTGTATAAACCTGTTGAAACGGCTAAACCGAGCACTATGGTATATAAACGAAAAACTAAGGGCGTAATTAGTTTAGCACTACATTTTATATCACCTGGACGGGAAGATTATTTGATGGCTTTAATGGAACCAAAGGAATCTGGAAATACTCCGGGGGAAAGTGATATGCTCGGAACTCTAGTCAAGTGTTACAATGATGCATCGTCCTGGTTTGTGAAGAGACTGAAAAGAAAACTGAGCAAGAACTGGTGCAATTAATTCTAGGACTCACAGCCTATCGTAGCTTGAAATTGAGTCACGGCGAGAAAACAGGAATACCGAATGTAGTGAGAACTGTTATTTTGTCTCGAATCATCGATCTGGACGAAAATTTTGAATCTTTGAAGAGAACAAGTTTATATAATATTCTGCAAGTCTGTTCAACTTCGAAAAAAGTATAGCTTGCTGGATTGGATAATATTGCCGCCATTTGCAAAACATTGCCTGAAAATGGAAGATCTACTGCATGGGAACAGAACATTGTTGCAGATATAAAATATGTACAGGTTTACATGAAGACTGACTTAAAGAAAGCTCCATTTATCTAAAACATATACCTGCGAGGATCACTATCTCGCTTATAGTTTATCAGAATCAACAGCTTGTGGCCATAGCCACGATATCTCCTATTCAAGCTGTCATCGGTTACGAACTGTTATCCGTAAAATAGACACTGCAATACATGGTAAAGAGATCAATTTTAGATATGATGGACAAAAGTAAGAATAGGTTCATGACCTACAGAACTCTAGCCCTGAAATCTCATATTATCTAGTGAAAATTGTAAACCAGTAACGAGGAAAAACCGATACTTTAGAAAATCTCGCTCCGAATGAAACTCATGTTACATTTTATTGGTCCATAAAATTCTTACCTAGTCGATTTCGCGAATCACAGCAAGACTGGTATGCTAAAAGGGGTATATCCTAGCACGTTACTGCATTTGTTACTCGGCCAGGTGACCAGTACCATATACACGCATTCGTTCACCTTATAGGCAGTTGTACCCAAAATTGTGTCAGCGTGCTGTAGATATTAAAAGCTACAATTTTGGAAATGAAAAAAAAACTTCCGCAATTGAATACCTTGTTTCTGAGATCGGAAAATGTCGGCTGTTATCATTGCGCCACATTGCTATTGTCTATTCCAGCACTTGAAAAACAAAATAATATCATGATACGAAAAGTATTCAAAAATGGATAAAAAGGCGGATATTCGGGGTGCGGCTGGATACAAAACAGGATAATTGCTATTGTCTATTCCAGCACTTGAGAAACAAAATAATATCATGATACGAAAAGTATTCAAAAATGGATAAAGAGGCGGATATTCGGGGTGCGGCTGGATACAAAACAGGATAATTGTAGATTCTACTATTCTGAAGAAGGGTGCACTAAATTATTCAGAACTGAAACCGAACTAACAATGCATCTGTCGTTGGGTAGTCACAGTCGTACTACAACCACGGACTCCAAATTCGATACAAATGCCCGAAATTGTTTCTTCCAAAACTCAGGCAGTGACACTGACTATATTAGAAACTAGTACTGTTTATGAACCTGACAATGTGAAGGGTTACTTTTATAAGGCGTTTATGCAAATTGTAGAGACTGGGAGGACGGAAAATCCGCAGACTGTTGCAAAGAGACTAAAACAGTTTCGACAGGAGTATTGGTTGACAGCTCGTCAAGTCGCTAGTTATTTTTCCAGACTTGCGACATTGCAAAAATGCGGCAGACTGAATCAGGAATTGGACGTCAGCGGTGATCAAACCGAACGTGTTTCATCCGTGCTTGATAGATGTTGCCTTAGAGAAACTGGATACATAATTATCATTATGTAGTCTCTTGATAGATATCACCTCAGAGAATCTGCCATGATAGTCCCAAAATTAACTAGTTTGTGTTGAGTGGACTGTAAACCTCATTTCTCTTTAAAGTACAAATCTTCCTTGCTAACGACGAAATGGTATATATTTTTAAAATCATTGTAAAGATGTCCATACATATATTTCATCTGTGGTATCGATAATCGGAACATTTTATCCCACTTTTCAGTGTTTTTAATTTATTTCTCCTGTGTTTAATATGACTGTGCCAATTTACCATTTCGGTATCAACTGAATCAATCTAATATTGTGTGGAGATGTATCTGGGTACTAACCCATCTCACAGAACAAAATCCCTAACCCAAGGATTATCACCCTCTGCATGGTGCTCTAGAGGACACGCTCTTAAAAACAAATCAACACATTAATCTTGATTATTAATTAATTAATTTTTAAACCAAATAAAAAGGGTTAACTCAGTCCAACTCTAAATAGCTAGCAGCCTTAGCTCAAACTATAAAGGGGTGTGGTGCTCTAGTCAATTTGTTCGCAAATTTTATTAGGAGATAAACACCGACTTTTTAAATTTAGAGGGTTGTTATTGTTCATTTGATACCGCTTAAATCACGCGCTCTCGGCCTCTTGTAAAAAATTTTAAGTGGTATCAAATGGACAATAACAGTTTGATAAATCTTAAACAGGGGGTGTTTTTCGATATTGTAGTTCAAAATTTTTAAAAATCTTTTTGGAATTCTTTCTTTCGCGATTGTTGACGGTCGTTTCGGGGTTTTAATGACGTAAAACCAAAGAAAACAATTTTGGCGTAATGAAAACATCCGTGGGGTTATAAAATAACACGCAATTCGCGTTCGATTTGGTTCACTAAGCGACTGGTAAATTCTGTCTGTTCAAGAAGAGGGGTAACTGTGCGATAATTTTGATCATTGGAACAGATTTAATGTAAGTGTTTTATGTACATTTTAATTGATTTTAAACTCCAGCTTTTTATTGATTGATAAATGTCCATACACTCGTGTGATCGTGTACAAATATGCTGTATAGCGTACTCCCGCGGTTGCTACGCTCATTTGACAACTGTAAAACACTTGTCATTTGGATAATACTTTTCCAATTTACCATCGCGGCATTCAGCAGCTAACTGGGAACCACTAACCTCCTCAGGTTTTAGAATATTTGAGCAAATAAATCACAAAGAAACGAATTTTCCCCATCATATATTTTATATTTCTTTAAGAATACAAACAAAACATA